CGCTGCCTTCTTTTGTTTCGCAGACAGCGGCCCCCACAGCCCTTGCTGTTTTAATAAAGCCTGCATCTTGATCTGCCATATAGCGAAGTTGTTCTTCCCCGTGAACTTTTCGATCTTCATGTTCACCGACGTCATTCTTCTGAATCGAAAACCCTAACCTGATTTCCAGCCGCGGCTCTGATACCACTTGTTATAAACGCGATGCTACGGATCGGGAAATCGTCGGAATCGATAAAGCAAGAATATGAAAGCGAGAATCGAAAAACACAGACACACGATTTACGTGGTTCACTAACACGATGTGTGTTAGCTACGTCCACGGGCGAGAGAGAGTCAGTTTCACTATATCGAGGAGATTTCAGATTACAGAGGAGTATGAGAAGTATTTGTAGGACTTCTCCACGTGGGTCTAAACCCAATCCAATCTGGCAAAGGAAACGGTCAGTGAGACCCCCGATTACCAGTCGTAGCGGCTGATAGTCCGATCCAAGTCACATCAACAAAGTTGATGTTTTTGCTGCTGTGTTAAATGTTTAGGTTGCTTCTGACTTCTCTTTAACTTCCCAGATTATGTAATTTGTTGTGCTTAATTGTTTAAATAGTAGGTTTCTCATTATTTGGCAGTAGGCTTCACTTTAATTGTTTAATCATTAATGTTTAACTGTGTGTTAAATTTTGGTGGCGTCTTCTCATTCTTCAGTAGGTTTGTATCTGTTTATTGAGTAATGTCTATTTTTTTATATAAATATTTTTTAGATTCTTTTGTATTATCCAAACTTATCAAAATACTAAGAATTATATTGTAAAAAAAACTAAAAATTAACCAAATGTTAACTTTCAATTAACAATGTTGTTAGTAATATTGACTTGACAACATGATACTAACTTGGAAGAGACACATGAAGGTTAACATGGCAAAATTTTAGTATTTTAACTAAGAAAAGAGTTACAAAATTATTAACGATGACGTAAAATGGTTAATATTTTGATGCATTACGAAAGATTTGGTTAATTAATAGCAATTCAATAGGTTTGGATAATATAAAAGAATTTGAAAAAGATTTGGATAAAAAATAGACATTACCCTTGTTTATTTGTGTGTTAAACTTGTATGGTTCTCAGCTTCTGCCATCAGTTGGACGGGTATATACTGGTAATTTGGGTACCCGTTATCCGTCCCGTACGGATAACGGATACTCGTTAATCCATGCAAATTTGAGACATGAAATGGAGTTTAATTTCCAAATGGGATTGAATACCCGTTTCAAAGGGGACGGGTATCCATCCAGTCTGGTTGCCCACCCTGTATTTTTTCTCCAGTAATTTTGTTCTGGGTATTTGTGTTTGCATAAGAAAGTGTTAAAAAAATAGCAGAAAATGAAAAACAATGTGGTTCTAACATCTAAGTGAGAGAGATTTGAAACAAGTTATTTGCAAAGACACGGTTACTGTTCGCTTAGACACGAAATTACTATTCATTTAGACTCAAAATTACTGTTCACCCTTCTCTGATTGGTCCATGCTCTGCGATTGGGCCCGGTCGCATTTTCTTATTGGCTGCTCGCCTGTGTGGGCCCTTGCGGTTTTGCCCTCTGTTGTTGTGGATATCATGTGGCCCTCTAATCCCCCTTCATATTCACTTTTTCTCTCTTTATCTCTCTCGATCCTTCCCTCCAAATTGCATGTGATTCCCTCTGCCCGAGAATTTTTGGGAACTTCACCACTGTGAGGGGGGAAGATGATAAGAAAGAAAGCAGAAAAGGCGAGGGGATTGTCTTGCTGGTGATGATGGAGAAGTTTTGGGAGAAGTGCTGCTATGGTTTAGGGTCCAAAGGGGTTTCTTGATTATTGTGATCCTTCGCAACGAAGTTTGGTGACCATTTTCCCACCACACTGGCTACCTACCTCCCAATTGCCCTTTCGATTTCTGAGAAGCTGTCAGAGAGGTATCATCGACTGTGTGGTTGAGAGAAGAGCTTAGCTTTGTAGGAGGAGGAGGTGAGAGACAAGATAAAACAGCTAGCTCCGTCTCTCTGCATTCTTCCCCTTTTTTATTTTCAAGTTCTCTCTCTATCTCTGAAATCTCGATGAATGTTGTTTCTCTCTCAACTTCCTTCTAATCTCTCACCCTCTCTCAACTTCCTTCTAATCTCTCACCCTCAAGGCAGATCGACTACTTTTTTTGTTGAGTTTTTCGTTGATTTGAGGTTTCAGAGTGCCATCCATGGTAGAGGATTCTTCCAGTTTATTTGCTCGCTAGGTGAATCAAATCCATATGATCTAAGCGGAGAATAGGTCAATTCGGAAAGGGTTCCTTGCAATATTCCATCGGTAAGCAATCAGTTCGTATTTGCTTTTTGGGTTTTGGTCGTGCCTCATCAATCTCCTAGATTGTATTTGCTTTAACGGATTTGCTCTATTTTGCTATTTCAACTACGAGAATATCGTTGAATTCTTTGATTCATGAGGGACCTCTCCAGTGAGGCGACAACAGTGATAAGGAGTGGGAAGGCTGGATTTGAGGAGGGGTAGCAGCGAAGGAGAAAGGAGATGACTACTGGACTGATGCCGAGGTCGGAGGAGAGGCGGTGGGTCAAGTTCGTCCATAAAATCGATACATCTTCTCCGACGAATTCGACTCTGCGGGGCTAACACGAGGCTCTTCTGGACGCAGAGAGTGTACTGTGAAGATTTGGTGGGTTTGCTTCCTCTTTCTCTTCCGCCATATTTATGCCATCTTTTGTTGCAACTTTTCTAATTAGTAATCTACGATCTTTCTTCCCCTTTCAAAAAGTAATCATGTCTTCCTCCTCTCCTTCTTCGCTTCTCAGGCATGGCGAGGAGCACATTACCTCCTCCGACTCTCTCCCTTTAATTTCTCTTCATGAGTGGGTTTCTCTGATCTCTCTTCTTGGGAGATGAGCAGAGCTGTAAACGATTAAGAGACAGATTCGAGGGGTCCGGAGAGGATCCGGAAAGCTCCAGCTGGTCGCTTCTAATGTTCGTTATCGAAAATTATTCCTTTGCTTCCGATGAATTTGTTATTCCTCTCTCTGAAATGGGTTCGTTGTGTGTTTGATAATTCTTGCAGGTTTACTCATTGCCTTCCCCCTTTGCGAGGAAGAGATGAACCCGAGATATGCATCAGATAAGAGAGATCGAGCAGATTTGGGCAAGGTAATGTTCTTGCAATGGACAATGGTGTTCTCATTTTGGCAATCTAATAAATTGCTTTTTGTTTTTTTATATCTTCTTTTATCATTGGTTTTTAATTTAGTTTTTTGTATGCTTTTGGTCATGCCTGCAGTGGAAGAAGATTCCAGCTTTTGGGCTTTCCACTCTGATGTTGTGTGTATGGATTTGTTGTGGGTGAAGTTTTGCAGTGCAAGACACTCATGAACTATTGTGAGTGATTCTTTGATGTGGCGCAATGGTCTTTCAAAGGGAGTTTCCTTTCTCTTACTTCCGTTTCATTTTTTTGTTTTTAAGGCTATATGATCAACCATATTTTTGTGTTCTTGATTTTTCAGTTACATGATGATGATTGAGGCGAAGGATTTGTAATGGGCAATCTCTCTACTGTCACCTCCTGCAGCAGCAGAAAAAAGCAAAGAGTGCTTGGGGTGCTTTCTCAGTATTTTCAGCTTAACTCAGAAGCATGGGTAGGATCTTTGTCGGCTTACCTCTTTGCTTATAAGATCTGCTATGGTTGTGATTTCTTATCTTTCTCTGGAAACTATTCTCTATGCCGAGCCCCTATCTCTTTTCTTCTATGACTTTGTTTGTGTTCGTTTGGTTGCAGTTGATAGTTGTTCATAACCATCAATAATCAAGCTGATAGTTGTTCATAACCATCAATGATCAAGCGGGAGTTTATTGATACGCCGTTGTTAGTGTGGTGTGGGTAACATCAGGGGATTGGAGTTCCAGAGGGAGTCGCTGTAATTAGTGAGGTTTGCCTCATAATCCCCCATTTGTGTCTTTCATTCTAGGAGGTTTACATGGATAAGTATCTATCCCTCACCTCCAGGAGGGTTTCTTTGATCAATTGGGATATTTTTCATTCAGGATTTAGCTCTTTGCAGACAAGAGTTCTGGGATGGACGACCTACCATCAATGTTGCCTTTGGATTAATCAAACAGTTGGTACATGATGAGCTTTGAGATTTTTTCTTGGTCCGAGAGTTTGCTCATTGACCATATCAAATATTTATTGGTTGATGGTTTAAGGCCTTTAATTGAATTTCAGGATTTATGTTGGGGTTGTTTGGTTGTGCTTTCTTTCTGAATCTTTTTGTGCTTCATTTGCATTGCTCTTTGTATTGTTTGGCAACAAAGAACCCTGGGAATAACTCCCAAGTTTTTTGTTCAATTTTTCATTAAGGGTTGGAGCAGCAATTTGAGGGCCATCAGAAGCAATCATGTCAAGCATTGTTGCTAAATAGACAGAAGGTTTACTGATCTAATTCGATGTTTCAATGTTGTTGCAAGGGTTGCGGTTGAGGCCTTGCTATGCTAAGCCTATTTTCTTTGTGAGCATTAATCTACATCAAGCATTACTACTTGCCTGTTTAAACGTGGTGGTGGTTGTCCTTTGTGCAGATAGCTTTCGATGGGTCATCGTGTGGGATGCTGTTGTTGGAAGCTTGCTTTTTCCATGTGATGTCCATTTAGATAGTATGCTTGGTGGTTCTTGGTGTAGGTTTCCTTTGTTGCAAAGTTAGGGTCTTATCGTTATTTGGATTTGATTATGAACAAATGCAGTGTAATCATTCAGTAAAAGTGGGGTACTTTTGGATAGTTAGTGGCCTGTATGTATATATGGACTGTTTGTTCATGAACTTGGTGGTTTCCGATGAAAGTTAAATTTTGGCTCAAATAATTATTCATCAAAAAATTTGATTGGTAAATATATTAGCTCACTAATCTAGGTCTTGCTTTTGGACCAGGTTGATCATATGTCTATGTTCTTTTCAATTTTTAATGAACAAAAAAGCAAAGCAAAAAATCTGAATTTGTTGTTAGTTAGTTTGCTTCTTTACCACAGGCTCTATCCAACAATGTTCTAATTACATTGCTCAGTCAAGTAACTATCTCAACTACTTTCAGATTATATACCGAAAAAAATATTTCAGCATCCACAAAATTACTAAAATCAAACTTATTCGGCCGCGGAGCGCGGGCTGATTACTAGTTTTAATAAAAGGTAGTGCTCTGCTCCCAGTGAAGAACAACTCGTAGTAAGATAGATACACTTTTGTTCGATTTGACAGTTCCACCGCCGGAATTTTTTCGGCTCCCAAAAGTCAACCAAAACGAAATTACCCAACACTTAATCATTGACAAACTCTCATATTCGTAAACATTTCCACCGGAATCCCAATCACCGTTCCTTGACAACTCGCCGCACCTTTCTCACCGGATTCCACCGATTCCCGGTGTGGTGCCGGCAGCGGTCGCTGGGTCATTAATTCCCCTCCGGTTAACTTAACAGCAATGTTCAAAATCCCCTGCTCTCTAGTCCCGTCTCTATGATCCCTCACCCTGTAACTCCGGTAACGGACCTGACCACCCGGCGGCGGCGACAAACAGAAATCGGAGACCGGAATCTGACACCAACCCAGTTGAGCTCTGCCGGAGAAGAGCCGTTTAGTGTAGAGTTCAAGGTAAATGCAGGAGTATCGATTCCCCAAAAATGAGGCGTCAACAGGGATGTAAAATTTGTCCCCCCATGTGGGATTCACTCCTCCCCTGTCGTCAACCCTCGTTATGTAGCTCTTGCTAGTCGAAGAATCTTCCCCCGCCGTCTGGGGACAAGTGGAGATGGCAACGAATGGCCGGAGGCGGCGGTGGGTGGAGAATGGGAGTAGAGTCCTGGACGTCTTCTTTAGGCCCTGTGCTGATATGATTGTAATTTCCATTGGTTAAAAAACAGGGGATTTTGGTTTTAAACGAAAAACAGAGGAACTTGTAAATGAGTAAAACTTGGGGGCATGATATTGGTTTATTTATACATCTGGTTAGAGGGGATTTTGGGAGGGAAAATGAGAGTGGGTTCTTGGGAGTTTCTTGAGAGGTAAGGGGGAAAGTCCTTTGGATGAGGTGTTTGTGTGGAAAATGTATGGATTAGGGGAAATTTATGAGGATTTGAATAGGATGCTTCTATGCAAGTGCAATGGAATAGTAACGAGACAGAAATGGAATGAATGGACAGAGGAATTTTCTTCTTCCTCCTCTTTTCTTTCCTCTTCTTGCTTGTGGCCAAGGGAGAATAAATGTGTTTGTTTGTGTGTTCTGAGAAGTCAAGTTTGATGAAGAAGTCTTTGGGAGTTGGGGGAATTTTGGTGGGAATGTTACCCTTTCTCATTCAACTTTAGTTGATGGATAATAGAAACACAATTCGCTTTCTAATATTTTAAATAAGTTATAGGGTAAATATTTTTCTCTTTCGAAACGAAAGGTTTACAAAATTATTATGATGGTTTGTACGAGAAATTGATTTTTATGATTTTACTGCATTCCAGCAAAAAAAAAAAAAAGTTAAAAGGAGTGGCATAACCATAAATCCATAATGATAACTTACAAATGATGTCAACATTAAAATTCCAAACCACAGTTACACTTACACCTAACATGACTTTTGCTAGTTATTTTCATTTATAGCAATAACATAGTAGCCATGCATCGAATTTCTTTTCTACACATTTAAGTAGTTTCAGAGAATTTTGGTGATAGTGGGAATTTTGGCGGCTGGGCTGAACCATGTCTGCAGCATAACAATTAGCAACTATATATGAATATGATAGAAACATAATTATTTATTTGTTTTTTTACTCGGGATTATTTATCGGTTATTCATGTTTTGGGATGGGATGTTGAGGGATTATTGGGATGTTGAGGATTATTTGGGGATTTTGAGAATAATTAGGGAGTATTATGGTAGGTCGTATTAGCGGGGTATGAGAGGGTTATTTGCAGGTTATATATTCTCTAATTAGTGGGGATTCTCATTAAGCAATTATCGAATAAAAACACTTAACCCTAATCTCCTTCTCTCCCCCTCTATTTGCCGAATCGACTCTCCCTCTCAACGCTGCCGCCGCAGCTCTTTTCCAACCTCTCTCTTCTCTAAATTCACTCCCAAATCCTTTTTTCTTATTCTACCTAGGTGATCAATCCCTAATTGATCCGCAAGTTCGTAATCCCTAGATAGAGCCAATTACGGGGGTCTATCAGAATGTGATGTCTGTGTATTTATTTTGAAAACAAAGCATGCAAGCTTCTAAAGCACCGGGCTCAGACGGTTTCATTGATGGTTTCTTACAGAAGAATTGGGAGTCTCTCGGACCTATTGTCAGGAAAGCTATCCTTTCCTACCTTGAAGCAGAGGACATTCCATTGGAGTTTAATCATATGCTGCTCGTTCTTATTCCCAAAGTCAAGGAACCGACATCACCTACGGTCTACAAAGTTTCGACCTATTAGATTATGCAGAGTACTCTATAAATTGGTGGCCAAAATCCTTGCCAATAGGCTAAGGACTATCTTAGACCAGATTATATATGATTTTCAAAGTGTGTTCATTCATGGTCGACTTATCCGAGACAATGTAATCACATCTTTTGAATGCTTTAACTATATGAAGAAAAAAAGGAAAGGTAAGAAAGGGGTTCTTGCAGCTAAGCTGGATATGACGAAGGCTTATGATCGGATTAAGTGGGACTTCTTGAAGAAAGTTATGAGAAGTGTGGGATTTCACGAGGAGTGGATCAAGAGAATTCTAATGTGTACTAATACTGTTTCGTACTCTATTATGGTTAATGGGCATCGATCTAATTCTTTCCGACCTTCTAGAGGGCTTAGACAAGGAGACCCGCTGTCTCCCTATTTGTTCCTTCTTTGTGCCAAGGCCTCTAAGCTCTAATACAACAGGCATAACGAAGAAGGGAGATTCACGTGATTAAAATCACTAATGGAGCCCCACTGATATCTCATCTTTTTTTTTTCAAATATGATAGCATCATTTTTGCTAGAGCATCTACACAAGAAAGCAAGGCCCTGAAGAAAATCCTAAACACGTACGAGAGGGAGTCGGGTCAAAAATCAATCTGGTGAAATCAGAGCTCACTTTTAGTAAAAACGTAATGGATGATTACAGAAGAGAAATTTGCAGTGAATTGGGGATAAAGGAAGTTGATAAACATGGCAAATATTTGGGGCTGCGTATTCTAATTTGTAGAGCTAAATAGGCAGTTTTTGAAAGCATCAAGGAGAAGGTAAGGAACAAATTGAAAGACTGGAAAGAACGAACGATGTTAAGTGTTGTCAAAGAAGTTTTGATTAAAGCAGTAGCACAAGTGCAGGTAACATATCCTATGTCTGTTTTCCTCCTTCCATATGGTACTATTAACAGAATTGAAAGTCTTATCTCTAATTTCTGGTGGGGGGGGGGGGGATCTGGGAATAACAAACACTGGCTTGATTGAGACAAAATGTGTGATGAAAAGGAGTTTGGAGGGAATGGGATTCTGATATCTTAAGGATTTCAACCTAGCTATGTTAGCCAAATAATTATGGAATGTGATCACCAGACCAAAATCATTGGTTGCTAAAGTGCTTAAGGCTAAGTACTTTCCTAGATCGTCCTTCATTCAGGCAAGAGCAAAATCGACAGATAGCTTTGTTTGGAAAATCCTCTTGAAGGCTAGAAGTTTGCTGAAGGAGGGAAGCAGGTGGAGAATACGCGACAGAAAAAATATCCTGATTTGGAATGAGAGGTGGATTCCACAGAAGGAGGGATTCAGACCAGACCCGATATCACATGATTTTGATCTGGGGCTTAGAGTGGAATTGATTATTGATGAAAATCTAGGCACTTGTAAGATGGACACTCTACACAAGATTTTCAGCCCTACAGTCCAACAACTTATCTGCAGGATTTCACTTCAAAAAGACAAGGAAGAAGATAATTTAGTTTGGATGCATACTAGAAATGAGAACTACTATGTTAAAATTGCCTATCTCCTCTACAGGAAACTCAATGGAGCAAATGAAAATAGAATTACCGAGTACGAGCTTCATGATGTTTCTTTCTAGCCTAAACTATGGAAGATTAAGGTGCAGCAAAAAATCAAGCACTTCATTTGGAGAATGCGGTGGGGAATTTTACCTACAGGTTCCCTGATTGCTTCTCTAATTCCTAATGCCTCGAACGAGTGTCTCTTTTGTGGGCTTCATGAATCCCAGTTACACATTCTGTGGGACTGATCCTGGAGTCGATGCATTTGGAGACAAAGCAAGGTGACGAACTGTTTCGAGGAAGCTGGAGGCAGGATGTGCAGAGATTGGCTTGAGCGAGTTTTCGAAAGCTTCCTAGACTCCAAAATTCAAAATTACTGCACACTCTTCTGGTACATTTAGAAAGAGAGAAATAATCGTAACTTTAATAACACCAAGATGGATGAATCCAAAATTACTCAAAGGGCGGCTTGCAGGGTTGATGATTACCTCGATGCCCAGATGCGATATGATCCTAAGATGCCTGTCCGCCCCAATCCAAATCCACGGTGGTCCAAACCACCAACTAGCTTTTTCAAGTTGAATACGGATGCTGGGATTATTGGAGGGAAAGGGTACTACTTGGGTGGGGGGTTGTGAGAGATGAATTCGAAAACTTTATCCTGGGCTTTTCGAAGAAAGAAAAGGGAATATGCTCAGTTGAGGAAGCGGAGCCGAGAGCTTTGGAAAATGGAATCCGTGAAATCCAAAAGAGATGTTTGTGGCCTCTTATAGCTGAATCTGATTGCAAAAACCTAATTACCAGTCTTAAGACAGGCGAAGAAGATAGAACAGAGAAAGGGAGGATCTGCAATATTTTTAGAAGAACAGGACAAACGAGTTGGAATGGCGCTAGTAGAGCTGTCTTGAGAAATGATTTGTACTTAGACTCTTTGGGGTACTAGTCCTTTCATCCAATGAGAATCAGGTGGTGTATAAAAAAACCAAATGAATCAGGGTTTGAGATCGAAATGAAGGGTGTAAAGTTCGAGGTCCATATATGAAATCCGACGTTTTTCAACAAGTTAAATCCTTAAGTAATGATCATAACTTATTGGAATGCTTTTACCAGGGTGTTGATAGGGGATTATAGAAGTTGAGCCCGAGATATTTCTCACATTGGTTCAGTTCATCAATCAGAGATATTTTCAAGAAGTCAAAGGCTTAAGTAATGATGGGGAATCTCTAAGTGAGCAACCAAAGGTGCAAACCATGGCTTTCCATATTTGGGGAAGTGGAAGGAATAACAAAGGTCAGGGCTTGTAAGAACTAGGGTTCTCATTCAGCTCCCTCTCCTTTGACCCTCTCGTCTCGTCTACTTTTCTAAGAAGTGAAGAACAAAAATCGCTTCCCTGTCCATTTCTTGTTTCTTGCTAAATTTGTGATTCGAATATAACAGTCTTAAGAAAAACCTCTTCGCGGCGAGTTTGACATCAATTCATACCAAATACGACGGAAGGAGATAGCATTTGAAAGCTTTCTTTTTATTTTTCCAGTTGCTCACCGGGAAGGGCCCCAATTCCTTTTTGCTGTTATAGGTGTTAATGGATAATTCTCTTTGGGAGGTACCCTTTGGCCTAGGTGAATTTGTGGGGAGACTAAATAGTAGTTTCTCGGAGTTCCTGGAATCTTTTCCGAGTGAAGACTCATGTCTATTGAAGTTTGGCCTTATCCCTTTTTACTACCTCTCATTCGAGCCCTCTTCCCCAGGAAGGATTGGAATTGAGATGGTAGGAACAACCGCGGCATCCATTGCTCCGGTAGGCAAAATCAAGAGTCTAGCTTCGGTTACGTGTTTATCGAGTCAGTGACTCGTGGCCGACGACTGCGCCAGAAAACCTCCATCCACTTGTAGTCTACGGGCATTTTATTGGTCGAAACATCAACGACACGGAAAACGGTCTCCCTTTCGAAAAGGGATGTGATTAAAACCTCGATTATTGCTCTTCATATTAATATCTTAATCTCCAATTCATTAATTCTGAAGGTGAATGGCCGAAGAAATTTGAATATAGGTATTAAATCTATTTATTGGCTTATTGATACATCAAAACATATTTAATATGGTAACTTTATTATATAGAATTTCAATTGCTTGAGAGATGGATCCTACTTTATGACCCCTATAATCTATGTCACGTTACAAGTGACTAATGAGTCACTAAAGTGACCTCCTCTTTATGGTGCTCTTTGGTCTTTAATGGTCCGCTTAAAAAGAGAGAAAAAAACACATTGTACGCTTATTATTCAGATGCCCCCTAGCCACCAAGATGTGAATGTTAGTGGAATTGAGCAACTTCAGTGATTCCGTCCCGACTATTAATTCTAGTCTATAGTGATGACATGTCATGATCTCTGATATCTCCCCATTCCACATTCTCCAATGCGTTTGTTTCTTTGGAGAGTCTGGAAGTTTAGAATAAAGTGATTTGAATTCTACCAGCCTCTTGTTCGTTTCCCTCGTCAGATAATTCTACTATCAGGTCCTTGAAGTCTCTTATTTTCACCCCCATCTCTGCCCCCCAGATCGCTCCTCCCAATTCCTCCAGCCACTTGGGAGCCTCCACCAGGCGAATTTTTGAAGATCAACCTCGATGCATTTGTTCGTGTCTCAGGGTGCTCGTCCGGTCTTGTTCTCCGCGGGTCAGACGGGCATGTGGTCATCAACCAAATTCAGCAAGATATTCTACAAGATTCCTTTGGAGGTCTAGTGCTCTGGGAGGGTCGTCAGTTCTTACTCTTTGTAAGTTTGTATAGAGTTTAGGGCAGTTCCTAGAGCCGCCGACAGTGCTGACCATAGAGTGGTACTTATAGCACTGCTTGTCCCTTCTAGAGTTGGAGTCTTTTGACTTTTTTGGGTGGCTTCACTGGGGTGTAGCTTGTAGAGTATTCCTGGTTAGTTTTGTTTGTATAACTCTTGTTTTCTCTTGATATCACTCGGAAATAAATAAAAAAAGCCTAAGTAATGACCATAACGTATAAGAATGTTTTAGAAGGGTGTAAAGTTCGAGGTCCATGTATGAAATTCTCGTTGTAAAACCAACCTTGAGCCCTTTCTAACATTATACTACAAGTTCCGCGCCATAAAATTAGAGATAAGGACATGATTTTATTATGATTCTCACACAATTGTGATATATTTCCTTGAATTGTTACTTTTCGATTAATCTACGTTCTACGAGAGAATTTCACAAATACAGTGTTATTTCTTTCTTGCACGAGTTTATGACTTTTCGTTTAATCATAATAGTAACTAGTTTTTTGGCCATGCTCTCCTGCGGCAAGAATCTTATTATATTTAAAATTTAATTTGCAAATCAAATACCTCATAAAATAGTTTGCGTAAGATACTTTCATAAGGTTTGTAGTATCTTAATAATTATGGAATATTTATGTAATGTGTTTGTTTAATTGATACATAATGAATAACTATCTCTTTATTAGTTTTACATATTGTATTTGTTATTACAAAATTGTTATAGAATGGTGTTACACAAATATTTCGTAATGTGTGTCTAATAAAAAAATTTAATTAATGAATAATCTCACATTTGATTAAAATATTATGAAACATTAACGCATATTATGGAACCTCTAAGTAAATACAAATTTATGAGATTCTAATATAGTGGGTAATAATAAATAAATTATATATAGTAATAAATTAACTAAATTACGAAAAGTATGACATTTGATTGAACTGTTATGTAAGACTACCTGATCTTACAAAACCTTTTTTATGTAATTTACATTGATGAGATAATTAGCAATCAAGTTAAAATATCATAATTTTCATTCAAACTTATATATTGCAGAAGACTTACATACGATATTTATTTATTTGATATGTAAAAATTATTATCTATTCATAGTATTGCATAGCGTCTTAGTATGATTACTAAATACTTATGTAGTACGTTCTGTGTAATTGATAAATAAAAAATAACTATCATTCTATAAATTTTACAAAACGTATTTGTAATTTACGTAATTGTCGTAGACTATTGTTATCTAAATCTTTCATAATGTGTGGTTCAATAATAAAAAATTAATTAATGGAAATGTAAAAATTGAATTGATGTGACAGTGAATATAGTAGGTATTAGTAAAAAAAAATAGTTATTTGCTAGAGATAGAAAGGGTGAGATTGTTGGTAATTAATATTGGAGGGCAAGGATAGAAATGGTGGTAACTAATGCCACATTTTTTTTTATTCTTATGGTACATCCGTCCACAATTATGTAAAACCCCAGTGAACAGTATTTTCGTTTTAAATTTTGGAAATACTTTCCCTACTTTGTCGTAAGGAACAGTAATAAGTTATTATTAATAACAACATCAAAAGAAACTTTAATTGATTGAAAAAAGTTCATCGACGGAAGAAAAGAAAAGAAAAAAATCCAGACCTGAATTATTGGGAGCTAGCAGTAGCGCAGATTAAGCAAGAAGGAAAGAGTTGGGTTGCTTACTGCCATAACCTCCTTTTCCCCGCCTGCCTTAGCTTACTTTTCCTTCACCACTTTTGCTTTTCATCTTTGGAATCAATCGATCGGTTGAAGAAAGGTAGATAGCGTGGAGACAAAATTCGACAGTCTGCACTCAACTGCTTGCTTTGCTTCGGTTCACCTCCTTAATTTACTCTCCCAACCCGAGCTTATTCCTCCCTCCCGCCACTGCTTCCGGCGCCGATTAATGTACATTCCCTCAATTGTTCATAGTTTGGTTTGGTTTGGTTCGGTTCGGTTCCTTCCCTGGTTGTTTTTCTGATTCACTTTCTGCCCAAACCACGAAATTCTGGTTTAGTATTCTGTCGTTTTATGTTATTTCGTCTTTACGCTTTACCCAATCCCATGTTGGGTCGTCCAATGGTCGGTGCCACTTGGTGGACTGTGATTGGGTTTGGTAATTGAGATCAAGGGCGGGGGGTTATATGCGCAGATGTCGTGGCATCATTTCCTATATTTGGCCTATTTTGGGTGACAATTTCCACATGACTCGTTTTCGATTTGTTTGACATGTTTTATGACTGGTAGCAATTTTGAATTGACTTGTTTTATCCGATTTGTTTTAGGACGATGCGAGTATATGAGTGCATCTCTTGATTTGATTTGTTCTAATTCGCCTCATTGTCGACTCGTTTTTTTTTTCTAAATTACATATAACTATGACATGATTTACCTATTTGATTAATTTTAGGGTAATACGGGCATAAACACTTAGAAATTAACTTTTATTATCTCATATTTCAACTATAATACAAACTGTAAAATGGGGTGAACCTCAATTTATCAAATTAACTATATTTATCATGTTATAATTAGTTTCTTGGTTTTCAGAAAAAAAAAAAGAAAATTGTAAATATTTTTCCTTTAGATTACATAATCATATTAGGCTATTTCCTCAGACCCTCATTATGAATAATTATTCAATATGAACTCAACCTGTCACAAAACAAATATAAATGTCGAAATACACATAACGAACAATCGAGAAAACTCCTGCCTCACTAACTTCAAATAGTTTCTCACTGACTTTTCCGCCTCATATTCTTCCAGCCATACAAAATTTTCTCGCTAACTTCCCCTGCCTGATGACTTAATTAAACAGTGTACTTTCTCTCTATAAAAACCTCCATCTCAATTCTCACCCACAAAAACATAGTAGCACGTTCTGTCTAAAACCAACCACAAAACCCTCTCCGAACCATCATATCAAACCCATCTTCTTCTACAATTACCAAAAATAAGATCAACCCTTAAATCGTCATCACAATTCACAATCCCACCATTCTCACTGACGCCATGGCTACATACTACAACAACAACAACAATGACTCCTACTCCTACTCCTACTACTGGGACTACCTCTCCAGCTTCGCCATGCCACTCTACCTCTTCTTCTTCATCGCCATCCTACTCTTCTTCCTGGCCTTCTCGTGCTACATCCGCTACGAGTCTGCTCTCGAGGACCTGATGATCCTGGTGAAGCTGTTCCTCATGCTCTCCCCGCTCCTTCTGCTGCTCCTCGTCCACTGCCTGTCCGCCGGTGCTAATAACAATGACGATGGTAGGAGGTTCTCTCTGTACATCCCGTTGCCGGAGAGGGACTCCCTCCACCGCGCCGGCGGGTCTCCCTGGGGTGTTGCGGTGGTGCTGGTGTTCCTTGTGTTTATGGTCTCTTACCAGTCTGCCCTACAAGAACGATGGTTCCCTTTGATTGCCAGATGAATGATCATTGTCATGAAGCTGCAGAAATTCATGATGTTCAGTGTACTATTTTGTGTTGTGTGTACTATTTTTGTTAATAGGGAGAGAAAGAGAGAGGATGTGTAGTGTATGTATGATTGTTACTTACTAGTTACGTAATTATAGAGGGCAAGGCTTATTTTTTTTTTCTTCCTAGCACTAATATGGTAAATAAGACTTCTCTAGTTATGCAAAGTGTTATTACAGTGTTCCAAATTCATGGATGAGTGTTGGAGAAAGAAATTGGAAAACTATATGTATAATCAGTTAAATTGAATAATTTCTACTTTTCAGAAGTTAAATTATCAATGTTTTTAGAATGCATGGAATAGATCGCCTGATACTGTACTATCCCAAACGCACACTAGCGCCTACAATGACTCAGCTTCATTTTTTTAAAAACACTTCACAGGCCGGTGAATTTGCCTTTTGGTTGATGTGGGCCTGTATTGTAAGCTGCTTTCCTCCGGCCGGTGAATTGAAAGTCCTATATTCCAGCGTCATATTACGCACTTTTCTCCAAATCCCCCTACGTCCTATCCTATGGGAGAGGTTACAGTACTAACTTCATAGTGATTAGTATCATGCTAATCATTCTCAGTACCGTTCATTATTTTAAAGTGAACCAGACAGTGAATTGTAGTGAAGGGTAGATTAGGTAATTTGAAAAAATTAATTAAATATAAAAATTTAAAATATCAATTCTCTCTTTACTAGAGATTTTGGCGTAAAAAAATAACTGTTAAAAAAGTACTACTGCTAAAATCAGTAGTGATTTTAGTGGGTATAGCTAGGGCTGTCAATTTGGTTTGGTTTGGTTAACCAAACCATTAAGTATGAAAAATCAAAAACCAAATCCCAAAAACCAAAACCATTAAGACCCTTATTGGTTTTCGGTTGCCAAAAACCAATATGGACTTTAATGGTTTTGGTTTGGATAACAAAAAAAACTAACATGTACTCATACAGTCATATTTATTCCCATTTCTCTCCTTTTTATTGAATTAACTTCATAATAATGGTAAATGGCCATTACAAATTATTGGTTGGCATGCATGTCAAAAGAAACAAAAAAAATATATTTATTGATAGATAATTTTATTCTTATTGGTTTCGTAATGGTGTCTATTGGTTTTTCGGTTTTAACCAAACCAAAACCATTAAGTTTGCTTATTGGTTTAAAACCAAAAAACTGAAACCATTAGCTTTCCAATTGGTTTGGTTTCGGTTAAAACCAAAACCAAATGAACAGCCCTAGGTATAGCAGTTATTTTTAATTTCTTGTAGTGGTTTAATTATTATCAGTGGCATTTTTTAATTAGTAAGAATCGATGATTTTTACAAAAACATTACTGAAAATGAAGAGAATAAAACAATTTGACAAATATCACTATAAAACATTACTAATAGTTACCAAATATCACTACTCATTATTATTAAAAATACTACTAATGCATATAAAATCACTACTACCAAAATCAAGCCAACCACTTCCCTCAAGATCTTGGATCTGGAAGCAGCACCGTTGCCGCTTCCCCTCACCCACTTCCGCTACTTCTCTCTCCCGCCGCCGCTCTCTTGATGGAGGATTCCCCCACCGTCTTCGCCGATCTCGTCTCCATCTTCTCCAAACTTACGAATGTAGACTCAGAAGACAACGCGCACATCCCGCCGGACAACAAGTTTTGATTCGATTTTGAGTTACACATCTACCAGAGGTGACGACTCAAATCATAGGCGGGTGGAAGATCCTCACATCAACACCTCTACAAGTGGAGGATTACCCCCACCAACGGTAACTACTCGAAGCATTGGCGAAGGACGGAGGAGACGCTAGTATGGATGCAACAACAGGTCGAAATACTTGAAGGTGGTTTTTTTGGGGTTCGATGGAGGAAGGGTGGCCGTTCATTTTGGTCCAGAGAGAGGAGAGAAAGAGGGGAGTGAGGCGGTTGTGAGGTGAGTGCGGATCCGGTGACTAAGGGGGGTGCTTAGTCACTTGACTAAGCCTCTCCCAGGCCCTTAGATCTGGACACATCAATCTGATGGTTAAAAAGTGGGAAGGACTATTTAATTAATGATAGGGGTAGTTTGGGTATTATGGAAAATTACGAAGTATACAAACCAGACTTACAATCAGTACAAACCATACAAACATACGAACAGTACAAACTAGAGCGACAAAACATACCAACAGATTTACAAACATTACAAACATATGAACTGTACAAAAAATACAAACTAGACCGACAAACAATACAAACCATACAAAAAGAAAAAACAACCAGGTTGACTTTGGAGGCTCCATCCATATATAGAGGGGCTCCTTCCCAAAGTCAACCCGGGTGTTTTTTAGACATACAAACATGGTGGACAAAAATGACAAACTAGACCAAAAAAACATACAAACTGAAAAAACACCCGGGTTGACTTTGGAGGTTTCATCCCTATATAGAAGGCTCCGTCTCATAGTCAACCCGGTTGTTTTTTAGACATACAAACATTACGAACATGGTGGAGAAAAATGACAAACTAGACCGACAATCCATACGAACTGGAAAAAACACTCGGGTTGACTTTGGAGGCTCCATCCCTATATAAAGGAGTTCCATCCAAAAGTCAACCAGGTTGTTTTTTAGACATAAAAAACGGGTTAATTGCATGGTTGGTCACTGAGATTAAAAACAACGTTCAAGTTTGGTCACTCGAAATATTTAAATCCATTGGTGGTACTTCAGTTTACTGAAACCGTTCATGTTTGGTCACTCTTCGTCCAACTCTGTTAACTTTGGCAGATGTGGCGGTCAATTCTAAAAGTTGACCGTTAAATATGTGATGTGGCTATTAAAAAATAATAAAAAATTTTAAAATTAAAATTTTCAAAATTGCATATCTCATTTCCACCTCATTATCACTTTTATTTAAAATAAATAAAAAAAATCATAATTTTTTCTAGTACCCAATATCAATACCCTGCAATCGTTCCTTAACGCCTTCTCATCCCAAATAACCAATTGTTCCTTAACGCCTTCTTCCCCACAAACCCTTTACCCTCTCCAGGCAATCCCATCCTTCCTTTTAATCCTCTCTCTCTGTTATTTGACTAATTTATCTCTAACACCTTCCCCACCACACGCCTCCCCGCTTCCCCAACCTCTCTTTTCGGCCGCCGCACTGCTCAACTCTAAGCGGCAGAGATGGATTCCTCTTCATCATCGGTAGAGAGTTTCCCGAGCTTTTCCCCTTCCTCTCTGGACGTCGTGCGGATTGGCTGTTGCTTCCCCTTCCTCCTCTGCAATCTCCCGAGCGCTCCACCTCGTCAAATCCGAGAATTCGGAGTCCAAGGTCGAGGGAAATCCACCGCCTCGCCAAGACCACGCAGTGGTGCCGCCGCCTGCTCGCTCACGTCGTTCCGCTACTTGTCTGCATGCTCCGGGTGCGTGACTCCGCCGACTGCCACGAGGAATCGACACATTCAGGTGGATTTCAATTCCGAGGAATCGGAGACATCTAATGGATCGAAAGACCCCACCGTTTCCTGACCATTCTAGCTCGGAAGAGTGGCTTGACTGACAATTGAACCATAATCTAGAGGATTACTTCGTCGAGGAAGAACTCCACCGTCGTATTCATGAGTTAAGGAGACGGGACCGACCAAATTGGGGACTAGAAAAATTAGGATTTTTTATTTATTTTAAATAAAAGTGATAATGAGGTGGAAATGAGATGACAATTTTGAAAATTTTAATTTTATTAATTTATTATTTTTTAATTGTCACTTCACATATTTAAGGGTCAACTCTTAGAGTTGACCGCCACATAAGCAAAAGTTAGCGGAGTTGGACGGAGAGTGACCAAACATGAACTGTTTTCGTAAACTAAATTACCACCAATGGATTTAAATATTTCGAGTGACCAAACTTGAACGTTTTTTGTAATCTCAGTGACCAACCATGCAATTAACCCCATAAAAAACATTGCAAACATGGTTGACAAAAATGATAAACATGGTGCACAAAAAAATAGTTGGCCCTCAATTAACTCTAACTCCAAGCAGTAATAATCTCCGCCCTACGAACTCCCCCCGCCGCCGACGGATTCGAATTTTCCGCCGCCAAATACCTATAGGGAGTAGCCGGTAGCCTGGCCGCGAATTCGTTGAGAGCCAGCTAGCCCTCCCGACGGTGAGCATCGTCCTCGAATTTCAACGAGTATCTCTCCGGATCGTACTTGAATTCCTCGGACTTGTAGCCCCTCCGATTTCGGCCGATTACGAGCCACCGACGACACTAGGCCTGGATCTCGAGGTCATGGATGTTAATCTAGCTGGAGCTCGCTGCCACCGCGAGCTTGGATAACGTCGCTGGAAACGGAGGGGGTGATAATGAATGAGAGTTTTTAAAATTATTTAATAATTAAAAGTAATAATAAACATGCAATTACTACACTGCCCTTTATTAAATTGGATTAATAGGAGCCCTTGGATTTTATTATTTTAATGAGGTTGAGTGGCTGAGATTTACTTAGTCATATGACTAAGGGGACCCCCTTAGTCACCTGATACTAGCCCGTTGTGAGGGTTAGGAGGATGAGTGAATATCTTTTATATAAGAGTTTCAATGTATATATTACTATATTATCCTTCAACTAATTCTAATCGTAGGATTGGTATACCAATCTAATGGGTGCTATAGAAGTTAGTATGGTACTAACTATATACAGGGTTAGCAACGCAACACATCCCTAGACCCTACAGTATCTGATCTGGGCATGAAATTTCCAACCGATAACTATTTGGTTTACACAATTTTTTCCGTTACAAAGAGAAATCGGATGACAAATCTGGGTTCTATGTATATTTGGCACATAGAAGTAATTCAATCGGACACACAACCCTGCAGTGCCCACCAAGAGGATAAAGTTCATAAAAACTTGATTCGACTGTATTTTTTATGTTTTTATTATCGAACTACCCCAAATCTCATACACTTATAGATAACCACAGGATAAATGATCGGTTTCTAAATATTGCCTAGCATATCATTCAAAATGCATTGAATATTCAGGTGATGAACAAAGAAATTCACTGCTATATGAGTGTGGATGATGCACCTTTTCCAAGCACGGTCTTTGAGAATTGAGAGAGAGCTTGATAGTTGATTTCTCAAGGCAAGATTGACTTGCTGGTGGTTAATGCTAAGGTAAAGCCTAATTGTAGCATGATGAAAATACAAAATCAAACATTTAATTTTTATTAGCAAGTTCGAACCTTTTCAACCAAAATTCCGTAAATATTTCAGCCTTAAATAGCCCAAGGATGAATTTTAAGTCAAATTAGATGAAAGTAAATAAAGTAATGTAAGGATGCGCAAATGACGATTAATTCGTTGGGAGATACTAGAACCAGGTGGATGAGCCTTAACACTGATGTGTGTCGGTGTTCACTTTCCTTTCTTTTTTTTTTTTGGTAGAAAACAGAGCGCAGAGGGGCGCTCTAACCCTTAGTCATTAATAATACGAGGCGTTTGAACGCCAACAGAGTCAAACAGCAGCCAGTACCGTAAACTAGGACTCGGGTTGTCCACAACATGCACCCCAAGAGAAAGCGAATGACCAACAGCGGCCATGTGATCAGCGACGTAATTAATCTCTCGAAAAACATGCTCCAAGGTTACCTCCCAATCTCGATCGAGGAGCTGCCGGATGGATGCTGCCATCGTGCGGTGAGGATGATCCTCCCGATTCGTCTGGATAATGGTAATTGTCGTCGTCGAGTCCGTCTGTAAACGTACTTTCCGTGCCCCCATCTCCCATGCGATGTGGAGGCCATGGTAAATCCCAGCTAGTTCTGCATGTGTAATAGACCGATCACCCAACTTTGCTGAAAAAGCTCTCAGGAACCTCCCATTGCTGTCCCGAAGAATTCCGCCTGCCGTAGCACTCGCCGAAGCCAAGACAACAGAGCCGTCTGTGTTTAACGCTACCCATCCTGGAGGAGGCCTGTCCCAGCTGAGCAACCTAGTGCTCCTTCCATCTCCCACACCCATAGCTCGCTGCGTCTTGGTGAAGACGCTCTGACACTGCTGCTGCATTTCCACACCTTGTTTTGCCATCACCCAAGTCGGCGCCAATATCTTGTCAAACACCCAGGTATTCCTATTTTTCCAAAGCTTCCAACAAAGAATCGCAAAGAGGGAGGGATCCACCACTTCACTCCGACCCGATAGGTAATGTAGCGCCCACTTGATCCTATCTTCCTGAAAGAAAATATGATCTGGCTCGTCCCGAAGAACTTCAGACCAGACTGCACGGGCGTACGAGCAATCCCGAATAACATGCATCGTTGTTTCCGGGCCATTCCCACAAATCGGGCAAGCGTCTCCTTGGGCAAGATGACGCCTACAACGTTCACTGTTGGTAAGCAGTTTGTTATGAAGTACAAGCCAAAAGAAGGACCTCGTTCTTTGGGGACCTGGAATCCGCCAAGCTCTTCTCCAAACTGGTTGGGTTTGCCCGGCGCCCTCCTCCTCACGCAATAGCTCGTAGGCCGACTTAATGGTGAACCGCCCCGTAGGAGATAGGCGCCAGGTTGGAACATCAGGACCCTGCTCGCAAGGTACAGTGTGCAGCATCACCTGCATAACTAACGGTTCGGGGAGAAAAGCACGAATGTATTCTGTATTCCACTCACCGTTGAGGACTAAGTGTGCCACGGTCAGGTCTCTGGCTTCGACAGGAACACCATCCGCAAATTCGGCTAGCGGTGGCCCATCTTGGAGTCAGCAATCATCCCAAAATCTCGTCTGAGCCCCGCTCTTAATATTCCACATTGTCCCCATCGGTATATAGTGTAAGATCCTCAGAACTCCTCTCCACAAATTAGACATCCTGCCTTCCGTTCTTGGCTGCCACCCATTATCCGTCTGTCTCAGGTATTTACTGCGCACAACACTTGCCCACAGGGAATCAGTTTCCGTCAACAAATGCCATGCTATCTTCATCATGAAGGCCTCATTCATCCGGGTGGCGCTTCGCAACCCCAGACCGCCCTCCTCCTTTGGCTTGCACAGGGTCTCCCAGTCTACCAGATGTACCTTCCTTCCTTGCTCCGAACTCCCCCAAATAAAACCTCGAATCTTTTGATCAATGTAGTCACGAACAGAAGCCGGAAGGAACGAAGTCTACATAGTGTAAGCCGGGAGCGAGGATAAGACTGATTGCGCTAATGTAATCCGCCCTGCGAGAGATAGCGTCTTGACTTTCCATGCTGCCAGCCTCGCGTCTATACGAATAATGAGCTCGATATAAGTTGCCCTCGATACCCTGTCATGAATCACTGGTACGCCTAAATAACGGCCGAGGTTCTTCGTCTCTGGGATATTTAATGCACTACTCAAGCCTCCCCCATCCGCGGTAGTGACGTTCTTTGAGAAGAAGACTTGGGACTTAGGCCTGTTAATCTGTTGCCCTGACGCTGCCCCAAACTCCTCCAAACACCGTAAGATCACCTGGACTTGACTTAGTGAAGCCTCGCTAAAAAGTATCAGATCGTCTGCAAAGAACAAGTGGGACAAGGCGGGTCCCCTGCTCGAAATACGTATCGGCTTCCACTCGCCACTCTCCACCGCTGCCGAGATAAGGTGTCCGAGTCTCTCCATACAGAGAGTGAAGATGTACGGTGAGAGGGGGCAACCCTGTCGTAGACCCCGTGTGGGCATGAAAGCCTTAGTAAGGCCTCCGTTCCACTGAATCTGCATGGTCGGGGAAGAGATGCAACTCATTGTGATATCAATGAATCCCTGAGGAGCACCCGCAGCCTGCAAAGTATCTCGAATAAAACTCCATTTGATCCGGTCATAGGCCTTGGCCAGATCGATTTTGAGGACCATCCAACCTGTCTTCCCCTTCTTAGCCCGCATAGAGTGGACTACTTCCTGCAAAATGCAAATATTGTCAGTTATATGCCGGTCCGGGACAAAGCTGGTCTGAGTTTCATGCACCAGTCTAGGCATGATAGGCTTGATCCTCTCTGCCAAACACTTCGTGATCATCTTATAGGTGACATTACAGAGGCTAATTGGTCGGAACTGATCAATGGATGAAGGTTTTGCCACTTTCGGGATAAGAACCAGGACCGTGGCATTTAGCTCCTTCACCCTCGATGGATGGTACCAGCAGGATTGGACAAATTCGAACACCGCAGGGCCCACAAGCTCCCAATTTCTCTGATAAAAAAGCGGATTGAGGCCATCTTTTCCTGGATCCTTGAGCGCACCCATTGCCTTGACCGCCCCCTGAAGCTCCTCCATAGTGAACTCCGCATCGAGAAACGCCCACACTTCTGGTGGTACGCCTTCAAAGGCTGCCTGTAGAACACTAATGGGTGTAGTGTCATCAGTATAAAGCTCTTCATAGAATTGCTTCGCCATATTCAACAAGACCTGTTGATCGTCCACCCACTGCCCAACATTATTTTTCAACGCAACCACTCTATTCCTCCGCCGCCTGCCAATAGCTCTCGCGTGGAAATATTTTGTGTTGCAGTCCCCTGAGACAATCCAGGCCAGCACCGATTTTTGGCACCAGAGCATCTCCTCTTGGAGGAGAATCTCTTCCAGCTCCGCTCTTGCTTGGCTAATGATCGGGTCATCCGAGTCCCCCCCCA